GTGGTGTAGCTTCTCGAAAGCTCTTTCATAACTCATGCCAAGTGGAGTGAACACCCTTTTTAATCTTTGGATTCGTGGTTTAGAGGCGTTCGTGGCATGTACTTCATTAATAGGAGAGGAAGAAAAAGGATGGTCGTTCTTCTTTCCTCTCGCACTATTATCTTTCAGAAGGTCATCTTCAATGTAAATGCCTATATTATAGACAGCTTTGAAAGTATTTAAATTGTGTTGGTACTTTAAGTTCCTTGAATACTTCCCTTGGAGATTCTTGATAAATATCCTCACAGATTCCTTTTCGGCAGGAGCCTTGACCATATTAGCAGAAGTTTCCCTCCATTTGTTCAAGAAAGACGTGAACCCTTCGTTTTCTTTTTGTCTTAACATCTCAAGTTGTCTGTGGTCTATTTTGTCTTGGATGTTGCAATTATATCTATCTATGAAAGCGTTCGTTATCGACTCCTAAGAAGAGGTTTTCTCTTTCTCGAGGGAAAAGAACCATTGTTGACAAACGGTTTCGAGAGATAGTGGGAACAGAGAGAGGAAAACCTTCTTATCGATACCCTTAATGCTCATTATAGTTTCAAAAGCTCTTAGATGAAAGTAAGGGTTATCTGTTGCTTTGAATTTAGGGATGTCAGTGGCGTTGAACTTATGTGGAAGAAGTTCCTTGTCCAACGAGACCCCTTATGAACTCATGCCCTGAAATTTATAGTCACTAGATAGCTTGCCCAAGCTTTCTTGCATGAGATTCATTTGTTGTTGCTTCACGGGATCATTGATCTTGAGTGTGAGGAGCTTCAGCGTCTCAGTCACGGTAACCAATTGGTTCCTAAGCTCATTGACTTCTTCTTGACTTGCCATTATCTTTTTACCCTTCCTCTTTTGACGAATCGGTTTATCAAAAAGCGAGACTTGAATAAAGAGGTTGTCCTTGATTAATCGCCCTTCTCTCCTCGACCAAGTACTATGGAAAAGGAATTTGGGGATCTTTATTATTAAGTATTTGACTCAAACTTTATTCAACATGCAATGGATGGAGGAAGTGAAGACAGATGGGAGTAGAATGTGAAGAAGAATGATGTAGATGGAAGGATATGAAGAATTAGGAGTAGAATGTACCCCAACTTAAATGACGGAAAAGACCGACTCATGCATGAACCTAAGACATGGTCATGGTGACATATACTCAAAGTGTATGCTAAGACTAGTGAGTGTAGGTGATATTTTACGACTCGTGTAATGACCATGTGGCTAGACTATGTGACTAGACTCACTTAATGACTCGACAAGGCGTTATTGACAGCGAAAATTAACCGAATTAATTAGCAAACTGGTTAATTAGACTCTAGGTGATGACTTGACCAATAATCCGAACTGTCGGCCAAACGACAGGACTGGCGTCACACTGTGTAGCTTGGCGCCAGACGACAAAGTTGTCGCCAGGCGCCACACTCCACAGGGTGGCGCTACAGCTCAGATTTTGGCGCCAATGGTAGAGCTTCAATCTGAGACTGTTTTCGGTGTTATTAATCAACTGGGGTATGCCAACAGTCGTACTAGGTCAATTCTGATTAAAATATTAGACTTTATTGACTCAAATTAATTAATTAATTAGGCAAAGTTCTTTAAGCCATTAATTTATTTAATCTCAACACAAGTCAAACAAACGGTTAAGAGAAACACAGAATATATGCACAACAAATAATGCACAATTAGTCAAGTAAGCACAATATATTGCAATGAGTTTGCAACCAACCATGGCTCTAGTTCTCTAATGTTCGGGATATGGTTTAGTCAATAAAGGGTCCATGGTTAATTGTCCGGATGCACCGCGCGGATGCCTAACCGTGAAGGGTTGGCGCGAGTTGATGGGACACCGCGAGCTTTAGAAAAAACTCGCTTCCATGGTTTGGTGAATTCAACAATCTCGAATGTACCCTTTGTTGCACAGAGCGTTCAATCAGGTAGATGGAGCATGAATTCCCAGAGGGTTATGTCCATATGTAGAACACATATGGGTTTTAGAAAAGTGAGAAAAAAATTCAATCAGGAAGTAGGATCGAGCAAACAATACGAAAAACCGGTCGAAATTAGAACGCATATTTCTGGCTTGGTATTTGGGGAAGTTGGCGACAGCAATCAGAGACTGGCGCCAACGCTGGCGTCTGGCGCTACGGCTAAAAGTCTGGCGCCAAGCTCTGGCCCCTGGCGCTACTTCTCACATGCCACAACAGCTTTATGTGCACGATAAAATTTTCCAGTTTCGCGCGATGTTATTTCGGTCTTATTTATGAAAAATATTTCTCAAATTTCCTACGTGTAAAATCCTATGTTTTTAACTCATTACAGATGGTCTTTCCAATGAGATCTTTTTTATGCATATGAAAATAATGTTAATCAAAATTACGCACATTAAATACTTAGAACGTTTCAAGTCTCATCCACTCATTCTAAATCATTGCCGAAACAAATTCAGGAATAAAAATAGAAACCCTCCCTAGTGGAGTCGCCAAAAAAGTGTGGGGAATAAATTTCAAGCGTTAACCCCCAGCTTGAACCCCACTGTAATCAAACACTAAAGTACGATGGCGTCCAAAAGGGAAGAAGATAGAGCAAAAGAGTCGCCAACAAGTTTTAGGAACTTGTAAACCGTTCACAGGGTGAAGGTTACACCCCTTAACGATCCAAGAGATCGTCAAACTCTATAAGGTCTAGAACCAAATAAGGGTTTGGGGATGAAGGTACAAATCCAACCTAAAAGAGATTGAACCTGCCCTAATAATAGGCCTCTACTTTATTCTGATCGTATTCATGTGCGCTTTTTGACTAACCCTAAACCTGTTTATCTATGTTAGTTGAATATAATGCACAAATAAACTATTATTGGCGATCACTTGAATTATAATCAAAATTAACCCTAACAAGATTATTAATTATCTTATTAAGCATAATTACAAGTACAAATTCCCTTTAAACATGCATAAAAAGTATGATCAAGCAATAACAATAATAATATCAAACAACATAATAAATAAAATAATCATGATCATAATTAAAATAATAATCAAACAATAAACATCATAATAACAATTATATTAATCATAATAATAATCATGTTAATCATAATAATAATAATATTATTCATAATCATGTTCATGTTAACATTAAAGCATTATAAAAATAGCAAGATCCTAGGCATGATACTAACAAGATTAATAACAAATCCTAGCATGTCACTAAGCAATAAAAATCAAATCTTTAACCCTAACAAAATACTAACAATCATAAATATTAGGAAGAACATAAAAGGCATCATAACAATCATATTTAATATAAAAAATTACCCTAGACATGATACTAGGAATCATAATAACAATCTAAACATGTTTTCTACATCATAACATCAATAAATCAATAAAAACCATTAAAGTACTTACTTTGATGCCTCGTACCTCTTTTTAATAACAAAATATACACGTTAGTAACTTCAAGGAAAATAATGAACAAAACAATTAAATTAAATAATTGAAATAGAGATTTGGGACCAAACCCTCAGAAATTAAACTTTTCACGTCTAGGGCGAAGGCGACTTCAAATATGGCTAGGTGTTTCTAGATCTTGTGAATCTGGAATTTTTTATGTAAAAAGCAATTTTAGAAAAAGAGAGAAAGAGAGAATAAGAGAATTGATGATTGTTGGTGAATGAAAACTAGTTGTAGGTGAATATAATTGAAAAATGATTGTTGATGAACGAAAACGGAGTTTTTAATACATTATTTATAGAGAAAATCAGCCAAAAAGATAAAATTAACAAAGCAGAGTATTGGCGCATGAAAAACAGAGCTGGCGCTAGCACCAGCTCATTGGCGCCAGGCGCCAACACTAGCGCCAGACACCAATGCCAGCGCCTGGCGCCAATGTCTGGCATTAGGCGCTAGTCCTGTTTTTGACGCGTTTTAAAAATCAGATAAATTTTGTCGTACAAGAGGATAAAATCGTATCTTTTCCTCAAAAATGTTCTTTGATTTAAATTAAAACACTGAAAAGTCAACAAAAGTCAATTTATCAATGCTAATTGAATTAGGAATGAAAAGAACCTTCTAGAAGACTAAAACCATTCCTAATTGCATTAGGAATGATAAATCATATTAGGCTCTCCTCTAGATCATTGGGCAGCATATAAGGCTCAAACCGGGCCCAGTTTAGTAAATTGGCCATAAATTCCTCAATATTCATCGGAATTGGGCTTATAATATATCGTTGGAAAGCTCTTGTCATGCCCCATCCAACTACACTAATATTAGACCCATATCATGGACCAACCAAACTGGATTGGCTGTTTTCTTAAAATAAGTTTTCAAAAACAGAGAGAAGAGAAAAGAAATTAAAACTATCCGCAACACTAAACTTTCTACACTTTCGCTTCATTCGATTATGATTCGACGTGAAAGGTACTCATCACCGAGTTTGGTTTTGGGGAGACACAAATGGGTGTCTACACCTACCTGATGCTTGCAAGATTTAATGGTAGGCACCATATTGATCACAAAATACAAACTACAAGGTTTAAACAATACCAATCAAATACACCAGTATAAATCTAATCAAAGGCGACCCAACACTAAATTCTTGCTTAAATCCAAAAAATCACTCAATTATATATGGGGGAAGGATTTACAGAGAAAAACAAGGGTGCTTAATAATAAAAATAGCAACTTTAACAAGAAAATTTTGATTCAATTATCAAATTAGGCTCATAATTTTGTAATTTTCGAGGCTATATCGTGTGAATCAGATGAATAGGGAATACTAATTAAATTTCATACCTCAAACTTGGCTAGAATATAAACTCTCAGAATAAGGTCATGAGTTAGCAAAGGCAATTTCTGCATAGCACAAGTAGATTAGCTAAAAAAAAAAAAAAGACATTGTTAGTAAAATGACAAACATCGTATGTCATATTATATCAACCTTAGCTTGCATCACTTATCTCCAAGACATATCGAAATTCGACCATCAAGCAAACATATTTTCTATGCCACTGAAAGGTATTAGTACATTTCAAGCTTGTAAATTATGGTTTTGCATACGTAAGAGCTCAGTGTACTAAAAATTGATGATTCTCTCACAATGAAAAAACAATCATGCCCACACAAAATTAAACCCAAAAAAAAAAAGCAAAACAAAAAAATCAAAAAATTCAACCCGAGCCCAAAATCTTCCATTAATACCATGAACTGCAGCAGCAATAAGATAGTGGCCATTCCGAATAAATTGTGAGCTTTAATACAGTTGATTTCCCTCTTTTACACAATTAAGAAGAAGAGGAGAACCTGGACAACGGCATCATCGTCAACAGTGGTCATGTTAACGGCGATGTGAGACAAACTGATGAACCCATACCCACGAATCTCCCTCTCTCGCAACACCATACCGAATGGAGTTTTTTATTTTCATCGGGAGTACTTAGATTGTGAAGTTGATATTCGATGATCACAAACGAAAACACCTTCAGCTCAGAAGCTGCTTAAAAGGAAGATCAATATATCAAAAGCTACTTCAATTGAGGACTTAGAGGCTTCATGGCAGAGGCTCAAATCTAACATTTCATCAAACATTTTAGGGGAGAATTTCAAGAAAGAGAAAAGAGAAAAGCAAAACTAAACCCTAAAGTTGCTACCAAATCGATTGAGAAATTAACTATCCCAATTCTTAAAAATCCCACAAAATCAAGTTGAATTTGTGTACTTTAAACGATTCAAATTCATCACCCAAAGAAGGTGGAAAGAAAGCAAATTTAGGAGCCCAACTGAAAATTATAATTATAATGAACCTAAGATTGAGAAATTGGTATTCGATAATTACAACAATAAAAAAAAGGGAAAAAAATGCTTACTTGAGTAACCCTTCAATGGCTAAGGGAAAGCTCGGAAACTGCTTTGATGAACTAAAAACCCTTGCGTTATCCATGGAAAGAAGGAAACGGGACGGTGATTGATGCCATTTTTGGCGATTTGAGGAAGAAGATCGGGGGAAAATGAGAAAATATTGAGGGAAATGAGAAAAAAAGGAAAGAAAAATAAGGGGCCAAAGAGGACGACAAAATAAAAACCAAGAACAAGCCACACGTTAAAGACCAAAAAGACAAAACTACCCTAGGTAAATTGGGAAATTCAATAAAGGGGCAGAGAGCAAAGGCGTCATTTTTCTGTTCATAAGGAACAGTAAATGTGCAATAGTGGTGCTTGGGGCTTTTGTGCAATAGTGGTTATAGGTTAAGATTAAAGATAAAGAAAGATTAAAGATTATAGAGGGATTTAGATATATAGATTTCAACAAGAAATTTCCTTTAAAAAAAAAGAAATTTGAACGAGAAATTATTTACTTTCCTTAAAAAAAAATAATTATTTCCAGTAACTTAATATTTGTAACTGACGTTTGTAAGTTTGTTACAAAATTTTTGGTCAAAGTTTCTTTTACTTCATATTTGTAACTGACATTTGTAAGCTAGTTACAAATGCTTTGGTAAAAGTTCCTTTGACCTAATATTTGTAACTGGCGTTTGTAAGCTAGTTACAAACTTTTTAGTCAAAGTTTTTATGACTTAATATTTGTAACTGACATTTATTTAGTTAGTTACTAATAAAACTTCAAACAATGATAAATCACATATTAGTAACTGACATTTACTACGCTGGTTACTAATGTCATGAAATTTGTAACTGGCATTATCTTAGTCGGTTACTATTGATGCTTTCGTAACTAGCATAACTTATGCTAGTTACTAATAGGGCGTTACAAATAGCATCTTTTCTACTAGTGTAAATTTGGCATTTTGGGCATCTTTTTACATATTGATGACAATCCCTATTCATGGTAGTCCAATAGTATCCTTCTCGCATTATCTTTTGGACTAGCATTTTACCATTAACATGGGTTCCACAAATGCCTTCATGAACTATCCTCATAGCTCTTTGGACATCCTTTTTCCCTACACATAAGAGAGCTCGGCACTTAGGTACCCTTTTATGTAACTCGTTGTCTATGAGTACATATTGGAAGTCAAGAGTCTTAATGCTCGTTGGTAAGTGGCACCCGCATTTTTTAACCCGAATGGCATTATCTTGTAACAGTAAGTACCCCATGGTGTTACGAATTTTGTTTTCTCCATACCTTCTTCTGCCATGAGAATCTGATTGTATCCCGCGTACCCATCCATAAACGAGAGAAGTGCATGATTTGTTGTAATATCTACCAAAATATCGATGTGCGGTAAAGGGAAGTCGTCCTTTGGACTTCCCTTATTTAGATCTCGATAGTCGACACACATTCTTACCCTTCCATCTTTCTTTGGAACTAGGACGACGTTGGCTATCCATTCGGGGTATTTGGATACCCTGATAAAACTTGCAGTTATTTGTTTTTGAACTTCTTCTTTTATTTTAGGCGCTACGTTGTAGGGAATATTTCAAGAATTATCTCAAACTTGAACCCCACTGTGATCATACACTAATGTACGGTGGCGTCCAAAGGGAAGGAAGCTAGAGCAAAAGAGTCGCCAACAAGTTTTAGGAACTTGTAAACTGTTCACATGGTGAAGGTTACACCCCTTAACGATCCAAGAGATCGTCAACTCCAATAGGTCTGGAACCATGACTGGTAGTTCAGGGATGAAGGTACAAATCCAACCTAAAAGAGATTAAATCTGCCCTAATAATAGGCCTCTACTTTATTCTGATCGTATTTATGTGCGCTTTCTAACTAACATGCAATCATTAGGTTTACCCTAAACATGTTTAATCTATGTTGGTTGAATTTAATGCACAAATAAAACTATTATTGGCGATCACTTGAATTATAATCATATTAACCCTAAACAAGATTATTAATTATCTTATTAAGCGTGATTACAAGTACAAATTCCCTTTAAACATGCATAAAAGGCGTGATCAAGCAATAACAATAAAAATCAAGCAACATAATAAAAATAATTATCATAATAATAATAATAGCAAGATCCTACGCATGATACAAACAAGATTAATAACAAACCCTAACATGTCACTAAGCAATAAAAAATCAAAGCTTCAACCCTAACATGACGCTAACAATCATAAATATTAGGAAGAAAATAAAAGGCATCAGACTTTTAATCATACTTGATATTAAAGTTACCCTAGACATGATACTAGGAATTTATTGTTGTCACCCTAAACATCTAATTAAGAAAAACATCCTATTATGATACTAGGAATCAACATAACAACCTAAGCATGATTTCTACATCATAATAACAATAAAACAATTAAAACATTTACTTGGATGCCTCGTACCTCTTTCTAATAACAAAATACACGCGTTAGTAATTTCAAGGAAAATAAAACAAACAATTAAATTAAATAATTGAAAGAGAGAATTGGGACCAAACCCTCAAAAATTTAAACCTTTCACGTCTAGGGCGAAGGCAACTTCGAATTATGCTAGGTGTATTTAGGTCTCGTAAATGCGGAATTTTGTAAAAAGAGGGTAGGTTTAGAAAAGAGAGAGAGAAGCTTTAGCTTAGAAAACTAGAGAGTTGATGACTGTAGATTGAAAATTCTTGATTGTAGATGAATGAAAACGAAATTTTTAGGAGACTATTTATAGAGAAAATCAGCCAAAAAGATAGAAAAACAAATCAGAGTTCTGACGTGAATAAAAACTTGATTAGCGCCGACGCTGGCAATTAGCGCCAGACGCTAACATTAGCGCCAGGCTTAGCGCCAGGCGCTAATGTCTGGCGTTAGGCGCTAATCTCGTTTTTGACGCGTTTTCTAATATCAGATAGAATTTAACCGTACAGGAGGATAAAATCGTATTTTCCTCAAAAACGCTCTTTTATTTTGATTAAAACTCTAAAAAGTAAACAAAAGTCAATTTATCAATGTTATTTGAATTAGGAATGAAAAGAACCTTCTAGAAGAATCTAGAAGACTAAAACCATTCCTAATTTCATTAGGAATGATAAATCCGTATTAGGCCCTCCCCTAGATCATTGGGCCGCATATAAGGTTCAAACCGGGTCTAGTTAAGTAATTTGGCCATAACTTCCTCAATATTCATCAGAATTGGGCTTATAATATATCTTTAGAAAGCTCTTTTCAAGCCCTATCAAACAACACTACTATTGGACCCATATCATGGACAAAATAGATTTTCAAAAACAGAGAGAAGAGAAAAGAAATTAAACATGAAAGGTACTCATCACCGGGTTTGTTTTTGGGGAGACACAAATGGGTGTCTACAGAAGCCCCCACTTTCACTGAGTTTGGAGAAACGCCAGTTTCGAAAACAAAAGTCAAAGTATCGATAGGGACGGAGAATGATTCAGAACGTTCTGCAATCCTAAATCACTCTTGTAACGCCGATACCTGCAAACTAGCGTTAGTTAAATAGGTAAAAGAGTTAAGAAACGCGTATCTTGCACCGTCGAGCACACGTCTCTGAAAGTAACTAATTTGCTGCTGCAATTCTTTTGTATTTGTCGTGATAACCGTCCACAATCTAGGGAACGCCATCTTGCTACTTGTTTTGATGATCTTTCGCAATCTAGGGAACTCCGTCGATCAATGTTGCTACATCTCGATCCTTTTCTTGAATCATAGTGACAACCTTTCCAATCATAGCAAAAGTCGTCGAAGACCGCCTCATCATGAACTGTCCTTCTCAAATCTTTGTGACAACCTCCACAATTTTAGAGAATGCCATCGAAGACCGCCCATCTCGTGCTATCTTCTCAAATCTTGGTGACAACCTCCACAATCTTAGCGAATGTCGTCGAAAACCGCCCATCTCATGCTATCTTCTCAAATCTTGGTGACAACCTCCACAATCTTAGCGAATGCTATTGAAGACCGCCCATCTCGTGCTATCTTCTCAAATCTTGGTGACAACCTCCACAATCTTAGCGAATGCTATCGAAGACCGCCCATCTCGTGTTATCTTCTCAAATCTTGGTGACAACCTCCACTATCTTAGCGAATGCTGTATAAAAATAACCTCTCTTGAAGTCATCCTCAGTTGTTGCGATAATATTCCGAAGAAAACTACCGAAGACCGACGCTTATCGATCTTTAAAGCTCGCTTGAACTTTGCTTTTCCCGGTGCGTCGGCGCTTCTGCTGCTTTTAAACCAGTATGTCGGTGCCTTTGTGATGAGCCAGTGTTTAGGCACTAAGTGAGACGATCTTTTGTCAAGTCAATCACTTATTTGCAGTTGTAATAAAATCGACTACTCAATCATGTCAAATTGCTTATAGGGGCTAACTGGCGTACCAAGGAACCCAAAATTGCTGTTTTGAGAGGCTTCGAGCTCTATCGCTGCTGAAATATCTCTGGCGCCACGATTTTGCTCTGTCTCCAGACGCTGGGATCTAGCTCCAGGCACTAAAATCTATTGCCCTACGCTGGATGCTGTTGTCTGGAGCTGGAGTCGGGTCTTCCCTATTCTGTTCTTGATGCCGCTGTTGCTCGGTTTCTCTCGGAACTTTGAACTTGGTCGTTTCCTTTTGACAAAATCCGCTCAAATCTTTTGTAAATTAAAGCTCTTCATCTCAAATTTACTGATCAATGTAATTCCTCTTATCTCAGAGGAATCTCCTATGTCATATTCGCGGTTTTTCAAAAAAAATCCGCGAATGTCCTCGCTTGTTGGGTTGCACCTGCATTTATATCTTTGACCATAGGACTTTGCTTATCTTTCTTTAGGGTTGACCTAAGACTTAGTGTTGACTCAATGTGATTGACTCGAGGTTGACTCGACTCAAAGTGCTTGACACATGTGTTAGACTCAAATCAAGGTGATATTATGACATGACTCAACGTGTACATGACTAGTGTGTGCATTATAGTGTAATCGTGCGACTCAAAAATGCAAAAAAAATTCCGTCACTTTTGTGGAGGGTACCGACTTTCTCCCGAAAAAGAAAGACACGAAAAAAAAAGAATCAAAGTTCTCGAATGCGTGTTGAATGAGCTTAGTCAAATGTTGTTTGATACTATCTCTCAAGGTGCAAGGATTAATCCATCTTAGGCTATCTCAATGGTTGACTCAATGATGAAAGTATTTGGGTAACTTAGGCACGGAGGCTAAGCACTTCATACTTTGTGATGCAGTGATGATTATGGTTGATGAGCGATTTTGTTATGACAAGGCATGCTTCAGTG